CGAGTTTCAAGAGATTGCCAACAAATACTTTTCTCTATCGATTATTTTGTGATTGAACAGTTTGTTTGCCATTTAGGATTGATTTAATCATGGCGGATTACTCTTGGGCTTTCAATCGCTCCATTATTATTTGTCATGTTTGTCTGTTCGCTGTATAACACAGCCACTTTATTCCGAAACAATTAGGATTACACGGTTTTTTTTTTCAAATAAACATGCTTAAGTTATTTATATAAAGGTTTTTAAAAATGACTAATGGGTTTGAAAATCATTTTTTCCTAAAGTCATTAATTTGAAAGACAGACACTTCCGAAGTGTTTATAATTTTTAATATAAGAGAATGGAAAATATAAAAAAAAAATATCCGCTGTCGATGTCAGTAAATACTTTCAATGAAAAAATCATAGTTAATTCAGTTTCCAAATCTACCCGTTAGTAAGTCAAAACTAATCTCACTATTTCGTTTGAGTACTTTGCAAAAAACGGAGAGAAACGGTTTAAAGATAAAATATTCACGTATATCTGTTTTGTTTGTACACCTAGATAGGTCAACGAATCCTTGGCCTGCATTTTGTGTACTCTGGTGTAAAATATACAGCGAATATAAACTGTGAAATTTTTAGAAAGACTTTGCTGCTTACCTACTTGAATTATATTTAAAATTGTCTTTTCTTCAATTTTGGATATAGATCAGCTTCCCTCCCTCAACAACATGTATGTAGCGGCAATCAACTTACCCGTACGTATTTCACAGTTTCCCCAAATTGGAGGCACTTAACAACTTACTCTTGCAAATGTTAACTTCACAAGTTAATATTTACCTACCTGGAATCGTATTGCAGTTTGTAGTGCTTACCTTACTTTATACTTTATCGTTACAAAGTTTTTGTGCCAGTAAATTTTACTTGTAGAAACAGTTTGTATTTATTTTTGTCGACAAATGCATTTACAGTCTTATATACTCGTACATACACATACATACTTCCATTTTGGATTCTTTCACTAAATCGAACACTATAGATGAAATTGCTAAATTAGCGGATTGCAGTTGTGGTTTCATTGAGAAGATTAATTCTATCACATATCTTGGAGTAATAATAGATAAAAATCTAAATTTTCGGGAACACATTGAAGCACCTTGTTCTAAATCTAGGCGTCTGATTTTTATCTTCAAAACACTCAGACACATACTACAGCCTTTTCAAATTAAGCGTGTTTATTATGCTCTTAGTCAATCTCTTTTCACTTATTGCATTTTGAGTTGGGATGGGGCATCCAAGAGTATACTGAAGAGATTAGAGACTACTCAGAGAGCGATTTTGAAAGTTGCAACCTTCAATCCTTTCTTGTTTCCAACGATATACTGTATCAGTTTTGTGAGGTACTTACAATTAGGCAGTTGTTTGTGTTACAAATTATTGTAAAACAACACTCTATACTTACCTATAATCCGCAAATTGAAACGGTTCGGAGGAAGCGCTCGGTGTGTAGGTGGAGGGAGGGATGTGACACTGCGTTTGGACGTAGATTCTTCAGTTATTTGGGTCCATTTGTTTACAATAAGGTGAACAAAATATTAATCATCTATCCCTTAACTAAAATTGAATGCAAAAGAAAAGTATCTTACTGGCTGCAGACACTTTCATACGCGGTAACTGAGAACCCCATGACTTCGGTGCTATGACGTTAGTAACTTATGTACCTTTATCCATTATCTTTCACACTAACACACACTCACAAACACACATACACACACATGCATGCACACATTTTCAGTTTTTGTTTCAGCTCATAATTAAGTTATATATTTATAAAATTGCACGTAATGTCATATAAGGAAATTAATTGTGAATTCTATGGGTTCTATGGGGATTTTAGGGCGCTGTACGCTGGAATACAGGATGTCTTTTCCTATTTCGGCAACAGAGGAGTAATTTAAGTAGTTACCTATTTTTGTAAATTAACTAAGTATAATTGTAATATTCCTCCTTTATATATAATAATAAAGAAAGATGAAATTGCTTTCAAAGGCCATAGGATGTGATGATGTGAGCAGATGCATGATTATCAACATTTTAGATGATATCCTTTAGGTTATAATACATATTGTCAATTTCTCTTTCCAAGTTGCTCATTTTCTTCTACTTTGGCGTAAAGCTTACATCATCCCTCTTCCTAAAACCTCCTCTCCGGTGTGTTAAGTTGTGATTAAAATCCTTGGACTTTATATTGATTCTGAGCTTAGTTGGATTTCACAGGTTTCCGTGGTCAGTCGTGTGGTAACTTAGATCACCCTCGTCACTTCCCTTATTCTTCTACTCATTGACTATGCTGATGTCTGTTACCCAGACTTAAACGAAGACCTTCTCGATAAGTTGGACCTCCATGTCAACGATACAATTAATTTTATTTTCTGCCTTCGCAAATATGATCATGGTTCGTCTTATCGATCTCAACTAAACGAATAGGGAGCCATCCCTATTTGTCAGAGCTCTGTATGCTTTTTTGCGTTGTTTTTAATCCTAATTCTCCAATTTACTCAAATAGTAAATTTCAATGTCTTTGTGATTCTCATTCTCATGATAGACAACTACGTTTTGCTAATACACTTGCACTATCTACTCCACTTTTCCATTCTGGCTTTATGTCCAACTCTTTCACCCTTCAAGTCATACGACCGTGGAATGACCTCCCCGAAACCATCAGATGATCTCCTAACTAATTGATCTTTGAACGGAAAGCCCACACACACTTCTCTCCTGGAACGTTTAGGGAGCATCATGATGTGTGTATTATGTTTATATTTGTATATGTATTTATGTAGGAATAATATTTATGTTTTTATATACATATATATAAGAGTATGTAATCGTATATAAATAAATTAATTTATAGTATAGTTTTAGTAATATATTTGTTAGGTGACTTTATGCCGCCAACATGATTTCTGTTTCCCAAAGGTTGACTGATAGAGAATGCTATCAGCATTATGTCCAGCTCTTGTACCAATTCATTAAGTTTGTTAAGTAAATAATAAATATATTGATATTTTTTTTATAAAAAATTATTCAATAATCCAGTCTTAAACAGACACTTAGAATTAATATCACATATGAAAATTTTGAAAACCGCAGATTTCATATTGCGTGAAGAAGAAATAGAACCCTAAAATAATATAGTTGTAAATTGGGGTCATCCAATTTAAGATCATTTCAATAAATCCATGTTCTTGGTAGTCGTAGAAATTTATCTTTGGAACGGCATAAGGAAGACACTTCAACTTTCATTGAATACATATAAAATGATATTTCAAAACGCTTAAACAAAAATCTAAAATAGTGGTATCTAAGAAAATATTGTTCTTAAAAGGAAAACTTAGTGAAGAAACTTTTAAATTTTTTTGCTGGTGATCGCTGGACATTTAAATTGTCAAATCAAAGGTTAGTTTTAAATTAATTCTGCTAAAAGAATTTGAGCTCAAAACAAATTGAGTATATCAAGATAATAAGATTAAATTTAAGCGCTTATGAATTAATAATTTAAATTTTCTAGCATTAGATACTTTTTTTTCTACATTTCTTGGTTAATAGACCATTTGCAATGGCAATCCAATTTCAATGACGTACGAATTTTGTAATATTTAAAATTACCTATAAAAAGCCAAAGAAACATTTCAATTAAACGCCTTAAATATCTAATAAAATAGCTATTTTTATTGTTTAGATATTGTATACTTGTTATTAAATCTTTAAACACACACACACACAGTTAAATAGAGACGAAACTGCGGGAAATTTTTGAGCAACATAGGAGTGCTACATTGCCTTCACGTAGCCGGTGGTGGTGGCGCTCGTTTAATAATTTATTTAGTGGCTGGTTGTTTATTCCGTAACCTTAGCAAGATGCATTTTCCAATGCAAGCTTTACGTATGAAATGCATTATTTATTCAAGATTTATTTAAATTTTACTATGTCAGCTATAAACTTACAAATGAAATGCGTTTATTTCCATTTGATTTCATTTTCGACATTTATACAGAGGAGGTAGGCGTAAACCGGGCACTCTCGTCGTTTCAATTGAAAAAAGTGCGCACCTGACGCACGTGACCTAAGTTTCCACACTTCGATTTATTAAGAGTTGCGTCAAAAAATGTTTGAAAAATGTTAATAAGTAAATATGAAGCAGATATTATTTAAAACACGGAGCTTGTTCTCTATTCGATACTGTTATTATGTAATATTGTTAGTTTGTCCAATGTTAGACATGTTAAAAATCAAGTTGCTAAAAGTAGCCAGTTTTGATTTTCTATAGCCTGATATCTTGTTGACCGTAAATTCCACGAAAATGTAACGACATATAGTGTCGTTACATTTTTCTTTTGGGTTGTGAGTGAATTTCGAAACGCATACCCTCTATTTCTTTTCCATTTGACTCCAAAAACTTAAATATAAAATATTATTGCGATCGGACAACAATAACCCGTGCCGACTTGACGTCAAAGTTTAAGTTTAAAAATTAGTATGGAAGCTATAAGGAGATTGTAGAGTTTATTGTTTATTTCAGTAAATTAAACACAAATATAATATTTAATGTTTATTTATAGTAAAAGAAGCATTTACCATTAAAGTTTTTTTTTTTCAAAGTTAGCTTTTTACAGTCAGGATATATGTTTCTGTGTTCTTGTACGCAACGTAATAAAAATTGTTTTTGCTCCTCTTCAACAGTGATTAAACCATGAAAATCTGGCATTACTTTAATTGCTATTTAAAATAATAAATACAGAATCTCTCACACTTAACTGACACTGATCAAGTGCGGCAACTAACTTCGGAGTCATGAAATTTTTTGGTTTTTTTATTTTTTTGTTAATTTTTTATACAAATCTTATCTGGTTTAGAGGATGTACCACTTGAGCTGGACCTATTTTCTTGTAAAACTATTATTTCAGAATCAGAAGATGAGTTTCTTTGTGGATTTTCATAAGGTGATGTTGATGGTGCTAATGATGAAAAAAATTTAGAACGTCGCTTTCCTCCTCAATGTTTCTAAGGCGCGCCTTTTCTTCTTTTTCTGTTAATTTTTTGTCCACTCCGGCTAAGTGACCAGGCCGACCTGGTTCTCTTTGGCGCTGTAAGAAAACTATCTTCATTTATTTTAATTAGCTGAAGCGCATCGACATGAGCAATGTCAAACAGATTGTTTAAGTTTGAAAAAAATTCTTGTCGACGCTGTTTAAATACATCTTGTGCTTTTTTCGAATTTTTTTGCCAATCTCTCCAAATTTTGTATAATGAAACTAGTTTCTTAATACAATTAGGTAATGATTTAGTCGGTATACGTGCCTTTTCTCAGTAAATAATGCACTCACGAATAGTAAGATTTGCACATTCATTGATACTTAAATTCACTTCACGAATATTATAGAACAGAACTGCCAGTACTTGTCCATTAGAGGGAAGTTTCGATCCGGTGATTTGATATTTTATGTCCCCTATTAAAAATATCTCCTTTTTGGAACTCCGCAACTCTACAGACATGTTGACTTCTCAATAATATCACTAATATCACACATCACAATGCGATCACTAATAAAACAAACAAGTAATAACATGCAATCAGTGCGAGATTTCCGTATCGACGACACGATTTTATCGATGCAAGTCGGCACGGGTTGCCATGATCCTAAGTTCTTCAAACTTTATTTTTAAATGTTTTGAGAGCATTTAAACAAAATAAGAGGTTATGATGCCCATAGTGCCCATACAGTGGATCCGCCCTTGGATATCTTTAAAAAATACCATAGGTCCATGTTACGCAATTTTCAGTAAAAGCATATGTCGTACCTGCAAAAAGTAATGAAGTAAACAACAAAAAAAGAAATCCGCTTTTTTATTTCATAGACGCTTACCGGTTGTCCTTTTATTAGTCCTTGTGTCAATTTTAAAGCGAAACCACGCTCTGTGAGAGGGTTAAAATGCCCACGCATTAAAATTTAATACAGTTCCAGGTGACCTCTTTTGCTGAGCAAGCACTAACAACGTTTAATTACATTCAAAAGCTTCATTTAATTTTAAATGTTAGTTAATAAAGTAAATTCCTTTTTTATATTAGGTTTAAAGTCTTTATTGCTATGAAATTAAAAACTAAATATATATTTTTTGACAAATTAATACATTATTTGAAAAGTACTTATTCACAGAAACAAATATTCTGTAATATTTTATTATTATTGAATTTTAAGTTCCTATTTTTGTACTGCTTATTGAGTATATACTTACTTGTCGCGCTTACTTCAGGCCCGAGAGATTCGAAAGCTTTTCCGAAGCTCAACTTCAGAAGTCTATCAGAATCTGTAACAAAAACTGAAATGCAGCGCCATGTATACGATTTACATAAAGATATTACCTCGCTTGCTCGCTAAAAGTACTACGCTGAAAGTATATATTCAAGTTATTGGCGAAACAGAAAGATGGCGCTGTTTAGATATGTATGAGTTAGTGTTGAAAAATTTTAATAGATGGCGCTTTTTCGAATATTAATAGATCAAATAAATTATGTTCTGGTAGATGTGATTGTCTGCTGACTGATTTAAATTGACTTGTTATGGCAATAAGTTTTTGTAGTAGAACTTCTAAAACGGTTTAATATAAGAAAAAGAAACAAATACATAGACATTTTGAACATTAATTTAATATTTGATTCTAAATTTGAATTTTCGAGACTTTTTTTACACACCATACAATAAAGAGTTCAAGAAGAAAATTTTACGTATTTTTAAGAAAATGTAAACCCGAAAAGAAATGTCAAGAGCCATAAAAACCGGCGAGTATTTATGTAAAGTCAGTGATAAAACTAAGGCCTATTTGGGGTTTTCTAAGCGCTTATAACATAAGAATAGTGTAATCCCGAATACCTGATATTTGAATATCTGAAATTAGCACGCGCTAAAACGTTCTTGAAGCTTCTATAGTACTAAATTTTGTTGCTGCGGGAATAATGAAAGTAGATGAAGTGAAAGATAAGGACCGTACTTTGTGGCGTTCGGTCCAGTGCCTACCCCGCAAAAGATGGAGCGTGAAGATATAGACAAATTTAAATTCCTTCCCAATATACATACCTACCACCTATCTCTAATTCAGGCATTGTCAAACAGGACGTTTACACATGCAACTGCGCGCAAAGTTAATGCAATAAAACTAGTTTCATGCTCATGCAACTTTCGTAATGTAAATTCTGCTTTAGGTGGGTAACTTTTGATATGAACAAACCAGCAGCGGTGGAATCGGGTGGTGGTTGGAAATGAAAGGTAGCCGCAAATCCCTGCCCAGCTGTAGCAGAGTTAGCTGTGAACTGGAGCAGGAGAGCTGGACCTGTAGACAACACCTCGTAACCTGCAATCAAAATAAACTGTGACCAAGATCTTCTATATTGTAAAATTATTTTATTAAATAGGCATTTATAATACAATAAGAATTAGAAGTCCATACATACAAACATGAATATTACGCTATTCCAACGAAATTACATACTTATACCTCCGATCGATAATCTTCTTTTTAAAGACGGTTAAAATATATACAAAGAAGATGGCATCTCTATAGCAAACTCTCAGCGCGTTAGGTGTGCGAGTTCAATTTAAGTAAAAACCATATTCTGCTGCATTTACAATTATAATATTCATAAAAAAATCAAGAGCTTGACGCACTAGTTAGTGCGTACGCGACGCAGTAGTGACTAGAAATGTATTATATCGAACTCTTGCGTGCTTCGGTAGGTACCTTAAGCCGTCAGTCCCGGCTGCAACCAATCCGCACTGGACTGCAAAGAGGGTTATGTTATGACTCATTTTTCCTATTAGATTCTATTCCATTAATAGGGAAGGCCAGTGCTTCAGCAGTGTGGAAATTGTAGCATACTTGATATCTCCTACGCTACAATTACTATAAAGTGCACGGCCCTTATAGGTCGTACACACCTCGAGAACACCCGAGACACGTGAACGTAATATATTTCTCACCTTCTCGTTCTCGGGGTCCCGTGTTCTCCGTTTGCTGTCGGTTTTTTAGCGCGCTTCAAAGGGACTTTAAGAACACCATCACGTTCTTGTTGGAATGCAGCGCGTAGTGAGTTTTATTATTATGTTTGTTAATTGAATATAAAATGACTTTCTTCTATTTGTATGAATTCCTGGGCTTCATTTTTGGATTTTTTAGTAACAAAACTAGAACACATACGCATTGGTAAATACGTCTGCAAAAGCAAACTCGACTGTATAGGAGAACAGGGAGAACCAGACTGGGAAATCACCGTGAGCGTGAACAGTGCACCTATTTCTTTTTAATTCTTGCAGAGTCTTTTCGTGAGACTTCTCGACATGAGTGTGCACGGCCTATTAAATTAAAATCTAAGGTGCGACTATTATTACGCAGCTGACAGGTGCGCTTGCCGCGCCAGCTAATGCCCCCACCACCTTCATGCACAGTATACTACAGACATTAAAAGGCTGATTATGATGACAATGAATACCCATCAACTCATTATCATTATCAGTCGTGCTTTATGCCCTCTTCTCCATTGATGGAGGTTTTCTATCTCCATGGAATGGGCCGTGCTCAGCGGTAGCTACGTTAATAAACTGACTGATAATGACAAGAAAAGTGTTCGTTCAAAGTGTACTTTTATTAACTTTTGTAAAAGATTACATCCTGCCCTTGGAAGTAATTTTTCAGTGTATGAAATAATATCGCCGAGTTTCTTCCTAGAGCTAGGATTACTGGGGCAGATTTGTAATAAAGTTTAGATTTTTTTAAATAAACAAAGTATAAAAACAGCTTAAACTAGTTTACTGTTGCAGCTTAAACTTTCTATAATAACATAATAATAAAACAAAATACAATAGAAAATATTAAAAGTATAAAAAGTATACAAAACTATATACAAAGGTTAAAATAAAAAAAAAAAAATTAAAATAAAAAAACAACATATTAAAAGCTGGTAAAGCCGTTGTCACCGCTTCTTTTAAAAAGTAAAAAAAAGGATTTATTTCGATTTCCGATTGAAAAATTTCGCAAGGTCGCATGTGAACGTATACGTGATTTATTTCTTGTTGAAGTTCAGGACGCCTTTCTTATTATATCATAGGTAACATGTTTTCCTCGATACAAAAAAAAATCTTGACTAATTTTTTTTCAATAAATATCGAGGACGTCTACTTATACGTCTAAAAGTCTACGAACATTTTTGTTTTACAAAAGTAAATTATAACTATGTCCACTGTAGAAATAAATACTGTTCAGTAACAACGCGGTTTTATTTACAAAAAAATTGTCAACAAAATCTTATATTCAATTAGCAGTGTAATAGACAAAGTAAGGATAAGAACGGGCGGGAAAATAAGCTATTTTTTTATTCATATTGATGTGTGACGTATTGTCTTTTCATCCAACATCTACCTTTTTCTGAAATGGAACCACTCTGCGACGCTGCACTCTACGACGAGTTCGAAGCCATTTTAAAAAAATATTCATTTAATAGGTGATTTTGCATTATATGACTATACAGAATTTTACCTTAACAATTTCAATGTCGCATTTGTAACTGAAAATATTAGAGTTTTTTCTCTAATAACTAACAATACAACTAACTCTTCTAACGAAAGAAAAAACGTTATTTCTTAGTAAATATGTTTTACGGTAGAAATAATATAAATTTAGAAATAACCGTAAAAATAATTTGGGCACTGGTCAAAAATTTACCCCAAACTTAAAAAAAAACAAACTAAGATTCTCGTGGACCACGTCTCTTATACATACGAGTACTTCCAAAGGCTGGAACTTATTTGAAAGTGAAATGGTAAATTATTTTGTAAATTCATGGATACTTATTAGCCAACCTTCTGTATAAATACAGTAAAAATCCAACAAAGATATAAGATTTACATGATCAGAAATGTAATCATCGCAGGCAACTTTTCCCTTAGCAAAGTTTCTTTATCGGAAAATTTTTCTTCGTGTGAAGCTTCGTGGACGTGATCACTCATTTCGTATGCCGCCTGCCTCAAAGAAACTCCTGAATTCTCAGTCAGTCGAGGACTCGGGATACGCCGAGTTTCCGGTCAGGTGTGTATTAATATACAACGTAACGGATCGATAGGAAACAATTCTTTTTAGTAACAGAAACCATATTACTAACTCCGCTGTAGACCGTCCGTCAGTTTGTCTATCTGTCCGTCTGTCACCATGTCGGTTGCAAAGTAAACCACTTGAATTATTATACTTGTTTTTTACATGATGTTTCTGGTGCCGCTATGTTAATAAATACTAAAAAACAAACTAATTAAATATAGGGCCTCCCATACAACAACCATTTTAGAAATTAGACTGGACTCGAACTAAGCAGGGGCCAAATTCTAATCCAGTTTTAAGCTTTAAGGTAAACGTTAACTATATACGTACGCACTTGACGAGCGCGCGGTACTCCACAAATTTTCCATAGTATTGTATGATTTTTTATAGCACTCCATTCACTATAGGTAGCGGAATTACTGACCGTACGTATTATATAAGCAAAGAGAATGTAATGCGTGTTGTAGACGTCACACGGGTTATTTTCATAGAGCTTTGCAGCGTTACGTCAAAACTGTCATATGGTACTTTTATTGAAAATCCGGATGTACTGTCATGTGGTACTTTTATTGAAAATACGTATGATATCAGCAAATCCGTACAATCCACAATGGATGTTCACCTTTTTATCTGTTATATTTAAACTTACAGGAGATGATTTCAATCTCAAAATGAATGGAGTTGGGCTAGTTCTATGTACAGCAAACCATAATACAGGCAAATATCTATAAGCAGTTAGAATCTATTCGATTTCTGAAACAACAATAGTTTAAGAAGGACATTATGAGAGCGCACACAACAGAAACAAAAAAACTGACTCTTTTTCAAATGGTCTTGTACCAAGAAATAACGTCCAAATAAGTTGTTACTTAAAATGAGAAACCTTAATGAATTACGTACTATGGCTTTCATCACAATCAAAATGCGAATTAAAATATTCTCCATAAAAAAAAACAATTTTTCTACAATATTGTTAATTTTAACTGACAATAAGAATTATATTTGGTCAATTTTACATTAATGAAAATACGCTCACTAGTAAGAAAAAGTAAGTAGAGCTTGAAAAATTCGTCAGCCCTTTTGGGTCTTGGATAGTACAATGGCTAGAAAAATCGTCAAGATTGCGATAGGTTGTGAGTTCAACTTACATCTCGGGGTACATGAGGCTGGTATGTTTTAAAATATTTTTTCATTAATGACATTAAGTAATTAGTATTAAATGGACCATTTTCTGTTCTGTGAGATGCACCAAAGGTGAACTTAAGATGAACTTAAATATTTGCACACTGACTGCAAACAGTGTGCACCTTCTTTCATAAACAACAACCATATTTGCAATAATATTTTCATTCATTCATTCATTCGTTAGACGCCTAGGTGTAACTGTTTTTGTATGAAGGTATACCAGATTATCACTATAGCAACCACTATTTGTGTTTCCCAATTAGTGGAATATAGCTATAAATTATGACTTTATAAGTTTATACAAACAAAGCCGTGACCTCGACAACTCAACACGTTATCGATAAGGGAAAACGTATAGTATGCTAGATTTATATTCTTGTTTAGATTCTGCATTTATCATTAATTTGATCATATTTATTACATCTATTTATTAATATAAATTACACACTCACATATTTGTGATGTGTGGGCACACATATTTTACACTAGCTCTCTTCACGTGACTTCGCCCGCATATAGCTAATGGCAACCGCACATGATAGTTTCCCGTAATTGAAAGATTTTTCATGATCGGGTCCTATAATCAACAAATAAAGCTAGAAACTTTACCTTTTTATAATAACTATAGTTTATAATTTTAAGGCTTCTAAATTGAAACTGTCCGCTTTCGCTAAATTGAGCCATGTCGAAGTAGTCCTTGAATCACTTCTTCGGCAACAGAAGGATAACTACTTGAACTATTTGAATGAATCGTTTTTTGCGAATATGCTAAGGTTAATGATTTGTCTGTATTTAACCTCGTTAACGTGTATAATAAACACAAGATAATAATGATATCTGTTTGAGTAATGTGTTAATAAATCTAGCTGTTTTCCTTCGACTTTGTCCGCGTAAATTATTGCCTATGCCACCAGCTTATGATGATGTTGCTTCCCGTAGAAGAAAGAATTTTCATGATCAAATCAGTATTTCCAAAGATAACCCCCTTAAAAACAAAGGACTCTTTAACGTCATTCAATTTTAGTTGTACTTTAAAGATGCTCGTCCATTGCCTCAGCACGCACGCACTGATCGCACGATACGCAATGCATTTGCACAGATTTGACGATACTAAGAAAAAAGGCGACTGTCAGTTTGACTTCGAAATCATGCTGATGACGACATAGGATTTTTTAATAGAATCCGTTGCGTGTCGTGAGGCCTGTGCGCGCGTGCTGACATATGGACAATTCGCCATTAAGCTGTAAGATAAAAAGCAACTGCTTATTTATTTAGTTTACCTGTAAGCTCGTTACATAGCATGGCTATTGCTTGCGAGTTGGTGTCCCTTCCATCGAACACTTTGATGATGTCTGCTCTCCGGAGACAACTGGAATAGTAAAATAGTAAAAAAGTGATTAATAGTTTGATTAAAGCCGTCATACACAACTATCTACAAGTATACATATTTGTACAGGCTAATTCTCGGTCTGGAGGTGTCATCTTTGTGGTCGTTTCGATTACCGGCCTAGTAATACAGAAAATCGTCTTTTCTTTATTTTTTTGGAACAAGGTTGTGACTGCGTAACTCCGTAACCGTAAAGATAGCTATCGACTATCGATATGTAAGTCGTCAAGCATACCATGTGTTAACGGATCTTCCGCTAGGCATGTTACGACCATCCTGATTTATTCAACGGTATTATCATTGATTACCTTTCAAGGCTTCATTTGACGGTTTCGAAAATGACTCGTACAAGGCATAATGAACTGACAGTTGATATGCCAGTATGACAGATCAATCAGGACTTGAAGTTATACGATACAGATGCTGATTAATGCACGTGATTTTCTCATTATTCATTACGCTATTGTATTAGCTCATTAAAAATAAGATAAAGTTACTTGCACTTTAGGTTGTAACCTTAAAACCACAAATTTGTTTAACAGAAGTAACTTGAAGTGACTCGTGCCTATAGCATGTTTAATTTAGACATATCAATGTCAGTATATAAAGTCCGTGATCATTAAGTCTCTGTTGCATCATAATTGCAGTTAAAGTCAATGTTTATGCCAATATGACAATATTTGTCACGGTGACTTTAACATTGACCGTGGAATGTGATGTAACTTCTTCTTTATTAGTATTGTAAAACAATTTCTTTAATCAGCGAAACTTAGGCTATTATAGTTTATAGTTAAAGTTATGACGTCATCCAACCATTGACAAATAATAACTCATTATTATTTGCTTAACCGGTTGTTATTATTAAAATAAGTTGGTGCGGCTAAGCCTTTAGGTGTATGTCCATATGTCAACACGCACACACCGGCCGCACGACACGCAACGGATTTTATTAAAATATCAGCATAATTCTGACGTCAAAATTCATTCGCTTTTTTTCAGAAGTATCTATGAAAAACGCGACTGCAGTACTCATATGACATCGAAAAATCCTTGCAATGCGTTGCGTGTCATGCGGACGGTGCGTGCTTGCTGAGGCAGTTGACTTGCACCTTAAGACGTCAATAATTTATATTTATTAGTCATTAATTTCCGATATTACGCAATGTGCAAACTTCTATAGCCTGTGTTTACTCAGCAACATCATATGTTAACATATATTTGTTAATGTCCTATATATCAATACTAGCACTATCTAATAATAGATTGAGTTATGTAACAACACGTGTTTCAACATTAGCGAGCCGGCAATGATCTCTCCATTAATCCTATTAATATTATAAAGGCGAAAGTTTGTAAGTATGGATGTATGGATGTTTGTTACTCTTTCACGAAAAAACTACTGGACGGATTTGGATAAAACTTTACAGCAATATAGGTTATACATCAGAATAACACATAGGGTACTTTTTACTGGGAAAACTTCTCACTCCCACGGGATACCGACTTCCACGCGGACGAAGTCGCGGGCGTCCACTAGTCTTAATTAATTCACTATGAGTGATGATAGCGTTCCATTGGTAAAGGGTACTTCGATAGTTTCATCAATAATGAAGATATCCGATACGTTATATATACACTTTGAAGTCATATTCATATAATAATAGTTTGTGTACATGAATACAGATTCTCAGAACATTCGTTCTATTGATAAATAATCAAAATGCTTAATACAACATGTTATACCAGTCAGTTCTGTTATTTTTTGTACAAATTAGTATTTCTGCAGTATAAGTATAGATGTATAGGCTATTGATACAATAGTTACATTATTGTGACTCTGAAAAGCAGATAAATTTTATAAATTGAAGTATTGAATACGTGACAATATTAAAAATTGTATATCATCAGCCCTTTTACGTCCCCACTGCAGGGGCTCAGGCCTTCCTTATGGTTGGTCAAGGTGAATGGGCCATGACCCTCCACGCTGGCCCAATGCGGATTGGAGGGTATTAACGACTGCAAATACAGCCGGGATCAACGGCTTAACGTGCCTTCCGAAGCACGGAGTAGCTCGAGATAATAATTTTTTGGTCACCCATCCCGTGACCGACCCTTGTGAAAGTTGCTTTATGACTACGATCATGGGCCGCGGCGCTAATCCACTACGCCACCAGCTACTCATTAAAAATTGTATTCATTGTAAAAACTAACTGCCTTAAGTGACAAGTTTCCGTACAAATATTCATTTTAAAAATTATATATTTTCATCTTCAATAAATCGGCATCCAAATTTCAGGATAACTCTATGAATAACTGCTATAATATTCAAATGCAAGATGCGGAGAATATACACACACTGCAAAATAAGTAAAATATTGTAAAATATCGTTTATTCGAAATAAAAAAAGCAGTGACAGCTATGACATAAGTTTGTAACGTCCATCACCATAACCAACTTATTAATGAGTCCACTGCTGGAGCACAGGCCTTTCCTATGAAAGAAATATAATGAAGAACAGTTAACCCACCACGCCGGCCCAATGTGGATTGGTGACTGTTAACGACTACAGATACAGCCGGGAATAACGCTTTAACGTGCCTTCCGAAGCACGGAGGAACTCGATAAAATAAATGTTTGTTAAACTTGCGAAAGTTACTTAACCTCTGAATGCACTGACCACTGCGCTATCGTAATATTCATGTATCATACATGCTACTCGTAAATCTAATGAATCATATTCAAATAACCCCAGTAGAATGTAAATTCCATCCGGATGTGGGGCATCCACGCATTCAACCGTTAATTAAGTCAGCAGATATAGTTTATAGCCGTGCTAATTAATGGCAACTGACCGTTTCGTCGGTAATTTAATTAAACATTTCACCCAATATTAGAGGTAGAGGTTACATTTACTATATTTTCATAGCAAATTATGAGAGAATTTTAAAAAGCAATGCCCTATAAAAAGGCAATTTCTAATAGTAAGCCACCAAAAACGTATTTATAAAAAATGATGTCAAGAGGACTAAATAACTCGTATAAAGTTTTCATATCTTATGTAGATCCAAGCTTCTCACTCTACAAGCCCTAACTTTATAAACTCCACATTTTAGTTAAAATTTGTGGTAGAAATAAATGAATAGACTATAGAATTTGAGAAAACGAGTAATGGTCGGTTATTTAGTCTGGGCAGTTACGAATCTATGGAGGAAGACAGCACTGAAAGAACCAGCAAGAAATTCAGCAAGAGGTGTTTTTTTCTGTGTGCCCCATACTTTAATATTATTTGTCGACTAATTTGCTAACCAAAACAGCGTGACTATTTGGTAATCCTTCATATATGGGACAGAATTAAAAACTAAAAAAACGGCCAAGTGCGAGTCGGACTCGCGCACCAAGGGTTCCGTACAAATCTGTAGGTATTTGTTGAAAATATTTTTATTATATGACGTAACAAAAAATCTATAGTTTTCACAATGTTCCCTTTATTTGTGCTGTAAGATGTTGTTTCATATCAAATTTCAAGATTCTAAATTCAATGGAAGTATCCTGTAGGTTTTGATTCCCTTGCGAGTTTCGAAAATGTGCGGCATATACGGCTGTATCTTTCGATTGCGTTGGTTTAGAAGTATGACTTTTACACGCTTCATGGACAATAGACCTGAGTATTTGATATAAATTTCAGCTTGACACCTCTTGACTTGAAAAAGGGTGTTGACAGACCGATGGAAAGGCGTATGGAACCCTAAAGCGTCCGTTCTTTCCTTTCAAGGTATGGAACCCTAAAGAAAGAATATTAACTGTTTACAATGGCGAAAAACAGTATAAAAAAGGTTATTCAAAAATAATTCTTTTCTAGATAACATTTACCACTACTTGATCTTCATCTTGTTGAAACTGCAATATGTTCGAAATATGTAGTTTATCGAGATGAGCAACACACAATATGTCAAGCTTATTTATCTTAACGTATCATAAACATTATTGCAGCGTCTTTATATTCTCTCGTGGCAAAATACCCTCTGGATACGACATTTGTGTCATAAAACAACAGTGAAGTACTGTTTGGCCACTTAATAACCATTCATACACTGCGACATTGTAAAGAATTCTAAAGTATTTTACTACAATTTTTACGATAACTTTTAATGTTACAAATGCAGTTTATATAGATTTGAAATAGTTTTCATTATAGTAGTTTAGTTGCGGTTTCTTGATATGATTAAACCAGCTATCCTACGACTTTGTTCAAGAAATTATAGCCTTACCCTTGATTATTTATTACAAAACAAATTGTGAAATCTCATCTCTATATATTATTAGTCCTTAATTTTATCCGCAAGTTCGTTTTCGTAATATAAGTAGTTACAGAAGTTTACTTTTAATCAATTAAAAAAAAAGAAAAGTTTTATAAACGTTTCAGCTCCCATACATTCTCCGTGTGCACTAAGACTAAGATTTATATGTTTTATTTTTTATCTTCTTTATATGGATCGATATTCTGTCTTTATCATAATTCAGCGACATATATAAATATACTAGCTTTCGGCCAGCGGCTTCGTCCGCGTGGTATTTCGTGGAACGAAATTCGTTTGCTAGCTTTGAAAAACATTCATATCCTATATATGTAAGAACATACATTTGTCAGAGATCTTTAGCTTTGATTACTTTGATTCTTAGCTGAGGTATTACCGTGTGCAAAATGCTTAAAATATATTTTTCTATACTTTTTAGATTATTGAGAAAATATCTTCTTTTTTTATTCAAACTAATTTAATTTTGACTTTTCAAGCCTCTGATAGAATATTATCATTTGGATTGTAAATGGTTTCCCTAAACCAGTCTTTCCTAAAGAGGGCGATAATGGCCCCTCGTAGGCGCTGTAAGCCTAAAGGGGTGCGGTAAGAGACCCAGAAATAGGAGCATCGTGTAGAAGATTAAGAAGAGTTAACTTGAGACTCATGTACTACCTACTGCGCTCAGGTCAACTCTTGCGGGCTAGAGTAAAAGTCTCGTTTGGTATCAATGTTTAATCTCCGCTAAAATAGTTCACAAAATTTATTTAATAAGAATTTATAATGGTCTTAGGTACTTTAAAAAACGTAGGCGCTTAGATATAATTTATTGCCAAAGTGGGCAAGAGACGAAATAAGTTTGGAATCAGTGGCTATAAACCGACACATTTTTACTAAAAGTTTTATTATAGTGCAAAAACAAATTGTATTGTAGAGTATGTTTTTTATTTTCTCCGAAGTTTTAAAAT